ATTTTGTAAGTAAGCCATTGGAAATAATTCGTAAACAATTCCCCAAGTCCATCATTTATCATTACATGGATGACATCTTATTATCTGATTCAAATAAAGATACTTTAGAAAGGATGTTTGAAGAAGTAAAGAAAGTCTTGCCTAGGTGGGGATTACAAATTGCCCCTGAAAAGATTCAAAGAGGAAATTCTATTAATTACCTAGGTTACAGAATAGGGTTAGAGAAAATTAAAACGCAAAAGGCACAAATTAGGAGAGACCGGTTAAAGACTCTTAATGACTTCCAAAGATTGTTAGGAGACATTTCCAGTCTACGACCAGCTGTTGGGATAACACCTGATCTAATAGTTCATTTAAACAAAACCTTAGATGGTGATAAAGATTTGAATAGTCCAAGAGAACTGACAGCTGAAGCAGAAAAGGAACTGACAATGATTGAGGAAAAATTACAGGAGGCACATGTGGATAGGGTGAACCCAAATCTTAGCTGCATCCTAGTCATATTGCCTTCCAGAATTTCTCCTACAGGGATTCTAATGCAGAGGGAAGATATTATTTTAGAGTGGATATTTATACCTAATAAACCAAGTAAAAAATTAAAAACTTATGTGGAAAAAGTCTCTGAATTAATTATAAAAGGTAAACTGAGACTTCGTCAACTAGCAGGTATAGACCCAGCAGAAATTATAGTGCCTTTTACTACTGAAGAAATAAAAAAGTTATGGGAAGACAATGAACCGTGGCAAAGAGCTTGTGCTAACTTTTTGGGAGAAATTAATAGCAACTATCCCAAAAGTGATAGACTTAATCTCATAAAAAGAACTTCTTGGATTCTTCCTAGAATTGTACGTGATGCTCCAATAACTGGAGCCCGTACGTTCTATACTGATGCAAATAAATCAGGGAAAGCAGGTTACAAGTCAGATGAATTGAGTAAGGTGGAACAAAGCCCTTATAATTCTGTCCAGAAGGCAGAATTATATGCCATTCTTATGGTGCTAAGGGATTTTAAAGAACCTCTTAATATAGTTACAGATTCACAATATGCAGAAAGAGTTATCTTGCATATTGAAACCGCTGAATTTATACCAGATGACACAGAGTTGACTTCATTGTTTATCCAGGTACAAGACATAATCAGGAACAGGCTTTGTCCGATGTACATAACACACATCCGGTCCCATACAGGTCTGCCTGGTCCTCTAGCCCAAGGCAATGCTGAGATTGATCAATTATTGATTGGAAGTGTGTTGCAGGCCTCGGAATTTCATAAGAAGCATCATGTCAATAGTAAAGGCCTAAAGAAAGAATTTTCCATTACTTGGCAACAAGCTAAGGACATTATAAAGAGATGCCCTACTTGTTCTTTCTATAATCAAACACCGTTGCCTGCAGGGAGTAACCCAAAGGGTACTAAGAGAAATGAAATCTGGCAGATGGATGTGTTCCACTTTATGGAATTTGGTAAATTAAAATATGTACACCACACCATAGACACGTATTCAGGTTTTCAATGGGCTACTGCCCTGAGCTCAGAAAAGGCTGATTCAGTAATCACACATTTATTGGAAGTTATGGCAATCATGGGTATACCTGCGCAAATAAAGACAGATAATGGTCCAGCATATGTATCTAAGAAAATGAAACGCTTTTTTGATTATTATAATATAAAACACATTACAGGTATACCAAATAATCCTACAGGTCAGGCAGTTATAGAAAGATCAAATCGTACTATAAAGGATATGCTGAACAAACAGAAAGGGACTGAAAATACCCCCAGAAATAGATTACATAATGCTTTATTAACCTTGAATTTTCTTAACGCTAATGAGAAAGGAACGACAGCAGCAGAAAGACATTGGATAATGGAAAAGTCTGCTGAACTAAATCAACCGATTTATTTCAAAGATGTGCTGACCTCTCAGTGGAAGCCAGGAGATGTGCTACGTTGGGGAAGGGGTTTTGCTCTTGTTTCCACAGGAGAAGAAAAATTGTGGATACCATCAAAATTAATAAAGTTTCGATTTGAAGAGGAGAAACCTCTTGGAAAGGAGAAATGACAACTCATCCACAATGATGATATTCATACAGATGGTAAGAAAAACATAGAATGGGGGCAGGGTTCTGTTCTTATCTCCACAGGAAAACACTCATCTTTGAGAAATTCAAGGGACCCTGGATGTTTGGATACTGACAGATGGAAAAATACCTGCCCAATAGGAAATATCAAGACAACTGAATGGATTGTGTAAGTAATATTAAACCATATTTCTAAATTTATAAAGCTGGTTTTGAAGTTGGACTCTGGCTCAGTCCCTCTCCAATTCCAAGCCTGTTAGTAAGAGAAAAACCCAGAGTTTCTGGAGTTTCTGTCTCATGTCAAGAGCCATGATATGGGACAGAAAGAAATATGAGTTTAGAAAACATCTTTGCTTTTCTTCATATCTATCATACTTTTCATTGAATATATCTATCATGTCTTTCATTGAATATATATATATGTCTATATATGTCTATATGATTAATGTTTAAGTTTTTCATAATGAACAATGAGTTTTTCCTGAAGTGACATTTGAAGTTTCCAGGAAGAAGATGGGGCCCCATAACAACAACTCCACCTGGTTGATATGACGTCATGATACTGATAGCGCTACTACAAGACCTGCTTTTGGTACCAGCTGCACAAGACAGTTCCAACTTGGTTAGCTGAAATGGTGCACATCTTATACAACATTTTGGCCAGACCTGCACAAAATACTCAGAGACTATTGGCAATTTTAAAAGACATTGATCTTGAAATTTAACCATCATTTCACTTTCACAGGATCCCCCAGAAAGAACGTCGCCCCCATGACAGCTGGAAGTAATTCTAGAGGACGACGTCCCCTTTCCCAATAAAACTTGCCCTTGGGTTTAGGGACATCATTTAGGGGTTGATTATAATTAGTATACGATTGAGGGTTGGGGGAGGAATTTTATACGCTCAGGGATCATTTTGAAAAAAAAAAAAAGAGGGATGATGGGATAATAGATTTGTAATTGTGAGTTACTGTTTTTAGACAAATACATTGGTATAGATTCTTGTATATTGATACAAAGTTAAATTATATTGACTATTGTACGCATGCATGTTTCTACCTCTGTTTAAAACATTTTTTTATGTATTGACATATATTGTATTGATATATATATATATATATTGTATATATTTACCATATTGCAGTGTACATTTCTACCTCTGATTAAGATACTTATATAATGATTGTGTATTGATATATATTTACCTACTGCAATGTTTATTTGTACATTGTTTATATTTGGAGGTCATTGTCCTCATTTGTTTCACAGTCGTTTATTGTCTTAGTCTTTAAGTTAGATAGATATTGAGAATTATATAGACTAATAGTCATCTAAGTTTGTCATTTATAATAGACTAATCAGGTTCTTTAGATATATAGAGATTATACTCAGTATAGATAGATAATCTTCAACTTCTTCAAAGAGCTGTAGAAAATGGCCTTTAATCTAACTCAGAGTTTTGTGGTAGTGAGACACAATTGCTCCTGGCAACACCACTCTTCCCGAGAGAATGTTGAGCACCAAAGACACTCCACCTGGAGCCTTCTTTTTGGCAGAACTGGCCTTTGGGCAAAGAAATGCCCATACCTCAACGACTGACAAAGATACAGAGCATGCATCAGTGGATAAAACAGGGCTGTCATATCCTGCCAAGACAGGGTAAGATAGTTTTGAAAAGTTGCTTGCCTTTGAAAATGGTATGTCAGTTATGTTAGGCCTTAGCCAAAGTTGGTTGCTTCAACGCTGCTAACGTGATTTTGGGTGATTGCCCAGGTAGCCAGTTGTCTCTGTGATTTGTTGCATGTTTTGGAAGTTGTTTTACTGAACTTCCTAATTACCCAGGTAACATTATTTCCCTTCTCAGATCTTTGATGGGGTTGAAGACTATATAAATGTAGTTACTTTCTCTCATGACTTGGCCAAGTTATTTATTATACAAGACCTAAGCTAGTTAGAATAGGATATTTGTACTTATTGTATATAATTTCATAGTAGGTTTAGAACTCTCTTATTTAAACAAAAGGGGGAGGTGTTGCGGGAGGTCCTCCCACTCCTCCAGCCTGTCACCGCTGAGGTACCAGCCCATTGGTGCGTGGTTTCTCTCCCTTTAAAAAAGCGGCCACTTCCCTCTCCTCTCTCTCTTCACTTCCTGCTCCGCCTGCGACTAGACTCCTTTCCTGGTTGCTTAGAGGGCTGTTGCCTGGGACAGTGATCTGTAAGTTTTTTCCCCTTTAAATAAATACCACCCTAATAATCATAACCCCGAATTGGTGTGGCATTGTTTGTGACTTACGCCTTCATTGAGCCTTCTAGATTCCCTGTCAAATTGTTCTACATCCAGTCTGTGACGTATGAGACTAAAAGGAAACCCATAGAACTTACTACTCTAGCCTACCTTGGGTCTCAAGGCCATCAACAATCTCTACTTTCCGGAGTATGTTGTGGTTTTGTTTTTTCCCTACACACAATGTCCTAGAATTCTAGTTGTACTTAGCAAGAAGAATAAGGAAAGTAGATCTAATTTAATTTACCTTTGTGGAAGCAGAAACCTAAGTTATTCTTTTGGATATACTAATTTAACTAACTCATTCTTATTTAAAACAACAACATAAAAATTTCAACTATCCACAGATCATATTCTAAAACAAAATCCTTGCTGAAGAAGAGAGATTGTAAGATAAAGTCCTACATTCTCAAAGCCCACCGTTGCTCTTAAAAGGAATACATACTCTGAATGTTCCATGATTTCAGAATGGGGGTTCACTCCATGCATTTCTTATTTCAATGCATGATCTGGAAAACGATGCATCTTCTTAAAGACGGCTTTATAGTCCAAAGTATGGTGTACTTACATAGGCTCCCCCACCTCACCCTGTGCCCAGCATAGAGAGATCTGTTGCAGCTAGAATCATACCTACCTTCCAGTGGTAACCACCGCCGTATGGCCAGACGTTCCATTTTCCGCTGTGTCTCTGCTAGGCTAAAGAGAACTCCATATACATATTGGCGAGCTGACCGGAACAGGAGAGCAACTGGAGGCAGCTCCATGTTACATTCATCCTCAATACAGACAGGGATTTTAATCTCACCCTAATAAGAAAATAGTTCAGGAAAAAGAAGAAAATGAATTCTTCAAGGTTTGTAGCAGAGCTGAAAATAACAAATAATGAACTGCAGTCTCTGGAGTCAAGACAGTAAATTTACTATTGGTATTCAGAAAGCTTTACCAATTAGAAGGAAGCTGTAAGAATCCCAGCTGAGTACAGCCACCTCATAAGCTAAATTCCATTTGTAAAGTCTCATATTTGATGGACTATATTGACTATCAGAGAGAATCAACCCTAGACATTTTGTTTGCTTGGTTTGGTTTTTTTGAGACAGAGTCTCACTGTGTAACTATTGATGGACTAGGACTTGCTGTGTAGACCAACTTAACCTGGAACTCAGAACTTCACCTGCCTTTACCTCCAGATTGCTGGTATTAAGAGCTTGTACCACCATGGCGGGTTTAGACATTCTGTGGGTAATTTGTGTGTTAAGACCAGAGAAGAACAACAGGTATGCAGAAATAGAGGCAGGGATAACGGACAAAAGAGCAAGATCTCTTCTTAGACGGTGCCTTCAGAACCACAGTCTATTAACTTAGCACATTACTTATTTCAAAATCTTTTCCATTATTATTATTATATTGATTTTTTTTTCAGTACTGGGTTTCTCTATGTAGCTTTGGCTGTCCTGGAGCTTGCTCTGTAGACCAGGCTGGCCTTGAACTCACAGGTGATGGGATTAAAGGCATGTGCCCCCACCACAAGGCATTATTTTTTTAATGATTTTTTTCATTTATTTTACATACTGACCACAGTTTCCCCTCCTTCCTTTTTCCCATTCTCTCCTCCCACCTCTCTTCTGCCCCCTTCCATCCACAAATCTTACAATTTAAACTTCTCTCTTGGAGTCCTTTATTTGTTTTACTGCTTAGTCACAATTCCTACTAATATCACCTTTTCTGAGGCCCTTAACGCAAAGAAGTGCACAGACATACACAGTTTCCTTTTCCCTCTTGAGGTACAATGACCAGAGGGCTAGGGAAATAACAATGCTAGAGTGCCTGTCTCGCAGGTGTGAGACGCTAGGTTCGATCCTTAGGATTGTTCTCCCTGCATAAAAATACCAATTCTCCGACCTTTCTCTGCTGCTTCTGTAACTCAGTAACTATGAGATCCTGTAGAGCAGTATCTGGGAGGTGGATATGGGTGCACTCTCTCACCTTAGTAAGGACATGGTAAATGTATGGATACATAAGACCCCTTCGGTGTCTGTGTTCAGCAACTCTCAAGACTTCTGGAGCTACTGGAGGTAAAGGTGGAATGGTGATGTCCATGTGGTTCCTTGTAGACATAGATAACAGAGATGGGATGTGAGGTTCGCTATCACTTATGCTAGGTTCTGAAGCTCCAGCATCAGCAGGCTGTACCCAAGACCCTCTGTCACCACTGGAATCTTCCCATCCAGGCTGTTGTGGAAGTGCTTCTGGGATGTGACTAAAAAATTCATAAACAGCAGAAGACAGAAAAGGAGGTTGATAAAAATATTTCCACTCAAGATATCTAGCCTGATCCCAAGGACTCCGAGAAACCCTCAAGATACTGGATTAGGACTGGACATTGACATCTTCCTCTCAGCGGTCATCACTGTCCCCTGGTCTCCTTCACCTGACATAGACCAAAGACTCCAAAGTCATGGAAGTCACTCTGGATCCTGTCTAGAGTCTACCCATAGTCTAAGAAAATAATTAAAATTATGATCTCAAAGTAGCTCTGAATGTCTTTAGAGGAAGACTCTAAAAACAGTCAAACCAGTATATGAGACCTATCTTCATTACTAAGGAACTGTTCCAATATTTCAACTATATAAATTCTTTATCCTTCAATCTATGTTCCTCACAAACTGAAAAACAACAGACATGCTATGTAGCACATTCACGTTAGGATTTCCTAAGCAACTGCCTTTTCTATATGACCTAGATATTTAAAACTTACCACCTGCAGAAGGCCAAAGGGCAGACTAATGAAAGGAAGCCAAGAACATCCACTTCTCTCAATTTTTTCTGAAATCTTTTCTTCTGGTTGTTTACACAGATACTTACTCAGAACTGGCTCCATTTGCCTCATCAGCATCAGAGGAAGAGGAGTGGGAAGAATCTGGTCCCAAAGGAGGTGAAGTTTTGGAAGGCAGGCAGTTAGGAAACTGGGGTGCTGAAGAGTCATAAGAAACAGCCCAGTTGTTAAAGGAACTGTCCTGTAGCATGGGATCCTCAGGAAAAGCGTGGGGTTCCCCCACACCATGAGGGAAGAGAAGAGGCGAGTTGGGTCCCACTGGAAATGGTGGAGGATATTTCACTTTCTGGGGCACCTGGCGAGGAAACTAAAGGATAAAACAGATGGGAAAGATATTTAACATTTTACCAGGACGCAGGATGGTTCCCTCAGAAGCTGCAGCAGAGTAGATGATAGCAATAGTAGGAACTGTTGAAGTACGAATACCTACTGAAAATATTTAGAAATAATTTTGATAGTGGTATCTGAATAGAATTTATCAGAGTCAGGAAAATCAACCAAACTAGATCTCTGGGACTGATGGAGCATGTGATCAAGCTGGACTCTCTGAACATGTTGGACAAGGAGGGCTGACTGAGAAGCCAAGGACAATGGTACCGGGTTTTGATCCTACTGCATGAACTGGCTTTGTGGGAGCCTAGTCTGTTTGGATGCTCACCTTCCTAGACCTGGATGGATTGGGGAGGACCTTGGACTTCCCACAGGGCAGGGAACCCTGACTGCTCTTTGGACTGGAGAGGGAGGGGGAGGAAAATGGGAGGAGGTGGAAATTTTTAAGTAAAAATAAAAAAAATATTTTATGACATTATCTAACCTATGTATCTAATGCCTTAGTGATTACTAATTTGGAAGCTATCTTTCTGTAGTCTTCTAGCCTCAAGGTACAAAATGATATAGGTATACGGCATGCATGGTCTAATTAACACTGAATCAGCCTAACAGCTCAATTTAGAGTGAGCTTAAGTCTAAGGTAAGCAAGTGATCTTAATCCCCTTAATGAACATGTAACAAACAAGACTTACCACTGGCTTTCCAGTAGAAATAGGGCCCATTTGATTCCATGGAAGAGGAGGATTTCCAAGCCGATTATTTCGAAAGCCTGAAGCCAAGAAAAGTTCTATGCTTCAGCCAATCCTAAACATTTTGCCATATTTAGTACATCCTGTTAAACCATCATTGCATTAAAAACCTGTTATAAAGTTACACTTTATGATCTGAGGATGTGGAACAGCGGTAGGGCACTTGCCTTGCATGCACGGAGCCACAGGTTAGATCCCTAGCACCACAAAAAGTTATAATTAATTGACCAGCTACTATGGGCTATTCCACGAATCTGTCTTTTTGTTCTTGTGGGATTTCCTTACACAGTCTTGATATCCTCAAGATATCTAAGCTGGGCCCTTGAGCCTGAGATTATGTACCGGTGTGTCCACAAGCTATTTTTTGGATGGCATGTTCAATATTAATTCCTTTGAACTGAGTTCACAGTTTACTTTGATAAACATGCCAAATTTATAGTAGCAGCAATTAATCCTAGCTTTTCCATCAAGAAAGTAAGCGGCATGAAGGTTCTGTGATGAGATAGCATCTGGCGGCTGTGATACTGGTGGAATGGATACAGGGCACGCCCAGGCCGGGGATCCTATATAAAGTATTTAATACAGTAACAACCCTATGTAATAGGTATTGGGAGCCATGTTTCATACAAAAGTGAAATGACGAGATCACTCAGCTACTAAGCAACAGAAGTCAAATTCAAAACTGAGCTTGCTAACAAAGACAGGGCTATTTTTACATATACCAGGTCACAATGAGGGTTAGTAGTAGAAGAAGCCCAAGCTAAGGAAATGGCATTATCCCCACACCTAGAAATGTGAAAAGGCAGGACACAGGCAGAAACAAGGGATTCCACTCTTGGCCTTAAGGGATAAACTCAATTGAACAGCAGCTGGAAGCCTTACCTAGAAAGGAAGGACCCACTGGCAGTGAAGAGATTTTGGTTGTGACTGAATAGTACTCAACTGCTTTCTTGAATCGTTCTATTTTGTCTTCTGTCCTAGACTGGATGTTGGAACATCAGATTTTCAGAAAAAGAAACAACATGACAGTGTCTTTTTCATACAATGTATACATTGGAAGTCAAAATGACAACAGGAATAAAATATTTAGAAACCCAAAAGAGTACAAGATTAGGTAGGGAAAAAGCAATAATCCCAGCACTGGGGAGGCAGAGGCAGGCAGATCTCTATGAGTTTGAGGCCAGCCTGGTCTACATGGTCAGTTCCAGGAAAGCCAGAGCTACAGTGAATCCCTGTCTCAAAAACAACAACAAAAAGCCCCACCCTTTCCCCCCCAAACCCACTGAACTCCAATCCTAGTTCCTGACCTGTGGCCTTGAACACTTTTATAAGTAAATCCCCTTTGCCAGTCCTTCCTCCCTTCCTCTTCATCTGCAAACCACAAGCCTAATTCGGGACTAAGGTCGCGAACTAACTCTGTTCCTAAGACACTGCCTAGATAAGTCCCTTCCTCCTTTTCCCATCATCCCTTTCCTAAACCCCCCCCACTTATTCCTCCCCCTGCTGTAGCTATCTCCACAGGCAAAGGCCTAGTTCCAGATCTGTGGCCTTCGAACCCACTTTTATCAAGAACCATCTTTGACTGGCTTTTTTCTCTCCTGTCCTTGCCTCTGTCCACTGTCATCTTGGCACCCACAGGCCTGACTCCAGAGCCATGGTTTGGGATCTTAGGGTTTCCATTGCTGTGTTTGATAAGACACTGTGACCAAAACCAGCTTGGGAGGAGAGGGTTCACTTCATCTTATAAATCTCAAGTCATACTCCATCAATGAGGGAAATCAGGGCAGGAACTCAAGGCAGGAATCTGGAAGCAGGAGCTGATGCAGAAGCCACGGAAGAGTACGGTTACTCGCTTGTTCCTCATGGGTTATTCAGCCTGCTTTCTTATAGAACTCAGGACCACCAGCCCAGGGGGATGGCACTACCCACAGTGATCTGGGACCTCTCACATCAATAATCAATCAAGAAAAGCACCACAGGTTTGCCCAGAGGCCAATGTGGTAGGAACATTTTCTTAACTGAGGTTCCTTCAGTTAATGACTCCAGCTTGGGCCAAGTTGACATAAAACTAGTTAGGGCAATTAACCCCTTTTCAACTTGACAAATGCATCATTGTTAAACCATAACCTTTCCTTTCTTGCTCATCCCCAAGATGTCATATTAATGTTAACATCACAATATAAAACACACTTAATTTTAAAAATCTCTTAAAATATTCAAGGTCTTTGAAAACATTCAAACCCCCTCCAAGATATGAAAACCCTCTCTAAAATATCCAAACCCTCTCCAAAATATCCAAAGTCTCTTCAAATAGCCAAAGTCTCCTAACCATGAGCTCCTTTTTAATTTTTGAAAGATATACCTTTCTTTGAATTTTATTTTTGTTCACACACATGTGCACGAGCATGACAAAGCATGCATATGGAGGACAACCTTTAAGAGTCACTTCTCTCCTTCCACGGTGGGCTCTGGGGATCAAACTCAAGTCAGGCTTTCACGCAAGGGCTATTACTCAATAAGCCATTTTGCCAGCCCTTGTGAATCCTTTTAAAGAAGAAACTTTCAGTCTGATAATCCTATGTATTTTTAAAGGTTAATTATTTTGATTTTATGTGTATGGGTGTTTTGCCTGCATCTATGCCTGTGAACCACACGTATGCAGTACCAATGGAGGCTAGACTGTGCTGTTGGATCGTATGAAACTGAACCTGGAGTTAGCTCTCATGTGGGTGCTGGGAACTCAGTCCAGGTATTCTGTGAGAACAACGTCTTTACCACGGAGCCATCTCTCCATCCCCTGTATATTTTTTTAGAGTCTATTTAATTAATTTATACCCTCATTTTTATTATTTCTTGATAGCTGCTGTATTTGGGTTCTTTATTCAAGATCACTGATTTTCTAATAAAATATTACATTTTTTTATTTAGTGTGTGTATGCACACGTGAAGGTGAGGGCACAACTTGCAACAATCAGTTCTCTCCTTCATCACGAGTTGCAGTGATTGAACTAAGTTCCCTGGACTTGACAGAAAATGTCTTTATACATTGAGTCATCTTGCAAGCTCTCTGATTTTTTTTTTAATGTGAGCATGTATAGCTATACATTTTACTCTTAGGACAAACAGATGGATCCCATACATTCTAGTATGTTCTATTTTTTCATTTGATTCTAGAAATTTTCAATTTTCTCTCATTTATTCGATGACACAAATATATTGTTTAGCTGTCGAGTATCTGTGGATTTTCTGTTGATTCCTAGTTTTATGCCACTGTTGTCTGATAAGATACAGGAAATTATTTCTGATTTTAATTTGTTAAATATTGCGTTTCTGCCTATAATGTGGCCAATTTTAGATAAGGCCCCATGTGGCAGTGAGAAGAATGTACTTTATCTGTTGGGTGGAAGAGTCTGTAGGTATCTGTTCATTTGATCTGTGGTATAATTTTGTTCTGAAGTGTCTTTGCAGATTTTTAATTAGGAAGAACTCCCTAGGCATAAGAGTGGGCTATTGAACTCTCCCACTGCTGTTGAATTAGAACCTAGTTGTATGTGTTATGCCTTTTAATGTTTATTTTATGAAATTTGGGTTCCCATGATTTTTTTAAAATTATGTTCTTCTAATTCCCTGTTACTTTTATTATCACATTGTGGTCTTCTTTATCTCTCCTGATTAGTTTTGGTTTGATATCTACTTTATCAGGTATGAGAATTGCTATATCAATTTATTTACAGCTTCTAATTTAGTATCTAGCCTTTGACTTTCAGCCTTTCCTTGTTATATGAGATTCTTAGAGTTAGTAGATAGTTGATTCTTCTTTTTTTGATCCTGTCAGATAGTCTCTGTCTTTTAACCAATGAATTAAGACCACTGCAATAGAAAAGAATTTTGTTAAGTTGGGTGGTGGTACGCTCCTTTAATCCCAGCATTCAGAAGGGCGGGTGGATCTCTGTGAGTTTGAGGCCAGCCTGGTCTAGAGAGTAAGTTTCAGGACAGCCAGGAATGTTATACATAGAGAAACCCTGTCTTGAAAGACAAACAAACAAACAAACAAACAAAAGGCCAAAAAAGAGTTTGTTTTCTATTATTTCTGACTTGTTTGTCATCGTTGTTCTGGTTATTGGCAGTTTTGATCTTTCTCTCTGGTAGTATAGATATTTGCTTGCTTAATGTGTTAGACATGGCTGAGGCCCCAGTTCTGTTCTGTTCATCTATTGTTTTCATGAAATACATTGTTTTCTGTGTTCTCACGTGTGAAATTTTCTTTCTTCTTAAACTCTGCACGGTATTCCTTTAAGAATTTTCTGCAGTGCTGGTTTAGTGGACATGAATTGCCTTAATCTGTGACTGTATTAAAAAATATTTCTCCATCTATTTAATAGATAATTTTGTCGAGTATAACAATCTTTTTTTCTCTCTCTCTTTTTTTGAGTATAGCAATCTTGATTGACAATAGTTTCCTTTCAATGTTTGTGACATATCATTCCAGCTGGTAATTTAGAATTCAGTTCTCCTGGCTTTCAGGGTTGCTGATGACAAGTCAGACTTTATTCTGGGGTTTCTGCCTCCATATACTACTTTGTGTTTTTTTTTCTTTATAGCATTTAATACTATTCCTTAGCTTTGTATATTTGACATCTTGATTATACCATGCAGAGTTTCTCCTTTATTTGTATATATTTGGGGCTCCACACACTTCTTGTGTTTGGATGTTTATTTCTTTGTTCATGAAATTCTTTGCTATAATTTAACAGAATATGTTGTGTAAGCCATTTGATTTTACTTCAGCCTCTTCTCTGCCATAAATTCTTCTTTGATTTCTTGAGTATACTCCAGTCTTACTCAAAGTTTTGGTCATATTCATTGATTTTTCTTTTTATTTATATACGCTTGTATATATCATTGCCTGGACACCGTCCTCCATCCCTGAGATTTGTTTTTCTTCTTGGTCTTGTCTGTTGATGTCTTCTTCTGTGTTTTTAATATAAGTGACTGTATCTTTCCATTTCCAAAATAATTGTTTGGTTCTTTTAAAGCATCTTGATTTGGTAAATCTGTTCTCCATGATTTAAATTTTTCCTCTCAGTTACTGATTCTTTCATCAACTTTGGTTCTTGAATAGACTTTGTAATTGTTTTTGTCTGTGTTTTGAATTAAATTCCATATTTTTATTCAAGTCCTCTAATTGGTTGTTGATCCTTTCAAAATGTAAGACTGTATAATTGTTTTCTGGCATTTCAGGTAACTCATCTTCTTTTTCCCCATGTTTGAAGATCTTTGTGGAGATGTTGTAGTAGACTGTTAGCTCATGTTTATTTCCTTATTGTAATTTACATAGCTGTTGGCCTATGTACATTCACCAGTTTGTACTTTTTTCCTTCTACTATTATGTTTCTCTCTCTCTCTCTCTCTCTCTCTCTCTCTCTCTCTCTCTCTCTCTGTGTGTGTGTGTGCGTGTACACGCACGCTGCATCCGAGTGTACAGGTGTGCACACTCAATTATATATATGTGAAATCCATAGGAGGATATCTGGTATCTTTCTTTATCACTCTCTGCCTTATTGCCTTGAAACAGCATCTTTCATTGAACCACAAGTTGGCAGTTTTGGTTTGTCTGGGTGGCCAGTGAGCTCCCAGGATTCGCCTGTCTCTGTTGCTCCCTTACCCATACTGGGGTTCCAAGCACATGCAGCCATTCCTAGAATTATTACGTGGATGCTAGGGATCCGAACTATGCTTCTCATGCTTGTGCAGTGGATGCTTGACTTGCTGCCATCTTCTTGGCCCCTGATTGTTTTCTTTTATATCAGTCTTCCTGGTGGGTTGGACAACCCATGGGAACTTATGAAAATCAACTGCAGTAAAAATCAGGACAGTTTGTCAGAAGACTCAGTTTGCTTCAAGAAATCATAGTGTGCTCTTGAATTATTTTTCCAGAGGTTTGGAGATAGGTGTACTAGGGTCCCAGTTGTGAAACAGGTA